TGATTCACATTACAATCTAAATAAATTTGCCGCAAATGCATTTTCCCATTCGTCATTCGTTTGTTATTCAGAGAGAGGCCTACGTGATCCGAGTAATGCAGACGAATTGGGTGAACTATTTTCAGCTTTCGTCACAAGAGCTTAAAATACAAAGTAATATTATAGTTTCTATGGCAATAAGTAATTAATAATGAATGAGTGCTCTATATTAATTTAACAAATGTTGGATGGGATTGGGAGATCAAGCCATTGAAATATACCCTTGATACGTTTCAATTAGCTACTTTAAGTGGTGATTAATAGTGTGAGAAAAGCGTAGGTTATAATACTAAAACTTATAACATAGACAAATAAAGGTATAGACTAAAAAGTCTTAAAAACTTCCCTTCCGGCAGATGTCACTATTGTTGATCTTGAGCCAGTCAAGTCACTCAGGGCTAGTGAAGTCACTCGACTTCGAAAACAATTTAATAATTTCTCTTCTATTTTATTTTTATATTTCACGACATATTTGGATAATATAAAAGTAAGCAAAGTCGATGTTTCGTTTTTATTGATAAATAATAAAGAATCATAAAAATATTTAATATTTTGCATTTTGAGAGAATTGAGTGAGTCTACTGAACCTCTCTCACAGCATGAACGACATCTATTGAACCACTTTTTTCAGAGATAACAGATGGGACAACTTTTTAGTCTATACCTAATTTGTCTATGCTTATAATCGATAGTGTTAGGTACTGAGTTAACAACACTTTTAAACGAAAAGATTATATTTGCCCAAGAACAACTTTCGTATGCGTTCGACTTGTTTATAATCCATACGGAAGTTGTTCTTTTGATATAGTAACTTATCCCAATAACTTTTACACTAAATTGCTTATTCAATAATGAAACCTCAGCTAGGAAACTATTATTTGAAATTTGTGCAATTGTATCTTTGCAAGAATTTTAACTTAATTTGAAGTCACGTTAGGTTTCAAAACATGGAAAACAAATACTGGTTCGGGACTCTTGTTCTATGAAATGACTTAACTTATAACTTTCTTATATTTTCAGCTATATATACGGTTGGAGAGGGTATGTATCATTTGATACGGCCAAAACGTACCTCATCGAAATAATGGAGTAAGACCCCAGGTCTCTTCAGACCAAATCCGTTTCAGGACATTTGCACGTCCATCCGTCTGGCTGGCTGAAGTCGAAAAGGTCAAAGTTTGAATAATTGTAACACTTATTAAATGTGATGTAAGAGTCAGATTGTCTTCAAATTACACACATCACAATATTTTTACTAACCCATTTTCTGGTGCGAAAATGGAATAAATCATGAATCTCATAAAAGCGAAATTAATATCCGTTTTCCATTCAACCTTGCACATCTCAGTATTTCTATCAATACAAGATCTGTTATAAATATGGTGGAGATCGAACCATTCCTTCTGGCACCGCCCCCACAAAGGGTCAAAATTTTAAAAAGCCAAAACATGCATAAATCCGTAATAAGCATCCGGTTCTCTTCAAATTTCACACATCACAGAACACAAGATCTGCTGTGAAGATGGAATACATCGGACCATTCCTTCTTGCACCTCCACCACAAAGGGTCAAAATTTTGGATATCCATGAAGGTCATGAAACCCGAAATTAACATTCGATTCCATTCAGATTTTGTACATCCCAATATTTCCATCAACTCAATATATGTTATAAAGATGGTAGAGATCGGACAATTTTTTCTAGTACCACACCCACATAGGGTTCAAGATTCTGAAAACCACAACACTAAAAAACGAATTTACACATACAAATGTTTTTGCTAACACAAGATATGTTGTAAAGATGATATAAAGGGTGAGATGAAAAAACTGCAACCAATTTCAGACTGCTGTCATTTCTAAGCCACCCGTCCAACAGCTGTTAAAATTATTCCAGTGACAGCTCATTATATGGTTTACAAGCGTACAAAAGCATTTTGGTGAGAATTTTCCAGAAAAAAAGTTATTCGTGATGGAACTCAAGCGCGATAGTGTGATTTCTTTATATTTGGCTGGAAAACCACAAGTGGCTATCGTTAGAGAACTCCAGCATTTAAATGTGAATAAATCTTTTGTGTCTCGTATCATTGCTCGTTACCGTGATACTGGTAGCGTCAATGAAGTGGACTGAAGAAAACAGCAACATCAGCAGAAATGGTTCGAAATGTAAAGAAGCGACTTGATCGAAACCCGCGTTTCAGTGGCCGAAAAGCGGCTCCTGAGCTAAACATATCGCAATATTCCATTCCCCAAAATGGAAAATGAGATCGGGGTGAAGCCATTGATATTCCACAATGTGCAAAAACTTACACCGCAACAGAAAGAAAATAGACTTAAAAGAGCTAAAGAGAGCTAAGATTAAAGAGCCGAAAGTGGTGAACTGCCGAATTTGGTTTTCTCCGATGAGAAAACATTCGTTGTCCAGCAGTTTGTAAACAAACAAAACGACCGCGTTTATTTGCCAAAGAGGTCAGCTGAAAATGTGAACCTGCGGTTGGCCACCAGAACTCAAGCGCCAGCCATGGTGATGGTGTGGACCGCCATAACAGCCGATGGTCGCTCTTCGCTCGTATTAATCGACCGTGACATCAGAATAAATGCCGAATATTATCGCAAAAATATTCGGCACGCAAACATGTTGGCCGCGGACCTTAGACATGCCAACAGGACTCAGCACCATCGCACTCAGCACGCGCCACCCAAGAATGGTTACAAAATGAGGTTCCTCCCTTCCAGCACACAATAGCCACCAAAATCTCCGAATACCAATCCGTTGGACTATAGTGTCTGGAGTATTTTTGAAAGCAAAGTTGGCACTAAAAGATCCCAAAGTGTCTATCACCTCAAGCAAGCGCTTCGCCGGGAATGGACCAAAATACCGCAGACCAATTCGAGCAAATCTAAACTTATTCTAAAATTTGATGCTATTTCCCGCATTTTTTGCTTTCATTCAATAAACTATGTTGAAGTTTTTTTTATCTCACCCTCTAAATCTCTAAATGACTCGAATTTAAGACAAAGATTAGTGAGTTAAAAAAGACTCCTAAATGAATATATATATGAGTGATATATGACACTTAAAAGACTTATAAATTACTCACCAAGGACTCATAAATGATCAAAAAATGACTTAAAAAATTCCCGAAATAAATTCACAAATTAAGAGTATTAATGCCATATATGATTAGAAAATGATTCGAAACAGACTTGTAGAACGATCAGAATATGATTGAAAATATGACTCAAAAGACTCGAATATGATTAAAAATTTTGAAAAATGCTGACTGGATAGTCAAGATCTAAATGACAAGAATAATGACTATATCTCTATGCTACCTACCATGGTACAATAAGAAGGTAGAACCACTTCATAAAAATACAGAAATACAGCCCTGAGGCTATACCCACTTCCTGTCAAATTTACTTGCAACGAGTTGTTTTCAGTTAGTCGATTTTTTCCTCCTTTTTCAAATAAACCAAATAGCGCGTGAAATGAATAAAATGCCTGGATTTTGTTTCAAAATTAGGTTTAAACAATTTAAACTTTCAGTTCCAATGCAAAACTGGCTAATAGTTTTAAACCGCGTCTCGTAATGATTTTAAAAATATTTTGTTTTTGTTTTTCAAAACAATAAATACATACACAAAATTGGCAGAAGTCGGTCACACTTTGTATTGTAATCAGCTGGAAGCTTTGTCTTACCTTTTATACCCTCCACCATTCTATGGAGGGTATATTAACTTTGTCATTCCGTTTGTAACTCCTCGAAATACTCATGTCAGACCCAACAAAGTATATATATTCTTGATCAGCGTAAAATTCTAAGACGATTTAGCCATGTCCGTCTGTCTGTCTGTCTGTCCGTCTGTCTGTCCGTCTGTCTGTCTGTCTGTTGTAATCACGCTATCTTTCGAATGAATTGAGATAGATGGCTTAAATTTTGCACACATGTTTAGTTTTCCAGTAGGCAGGTTAAGTTCGTAAATGGGCCATGTAGTTCCACGTTTTCATATAGCCCCCATATAACGGTACCTCCCGATATTCGGTATTTTACTGATTTTAGCGACATTTTTCACCGGAATTGTTTTAAATTTGGTATTTAAAGTTCGAAATGGATACTACATCCTAAGACAGAAAATTGTCTGTGCAAGTCCACGTCTTCATATAGACTCCATATAACGGTACCTCCCGATATTCGGTATTTTAATGAATTTAGCGACATTATTCACCGGAATTGTTTCAAATTTGTTATTTGAAGTTTGTAATGGATACTAAATCCTAAGTCAAAAAATGAGCCATGTAGGTCCACGTCTTCGTATAGCCCCCATATAAGGGTACCCCCCGATTTTCGGTATTTTGATGATTTAAGCGACATTATTTATCGGGATTGTTTCAAAATTCGCATGTGAAGTTCGTAATGGATACTTCAGTCCATGCCAGAAAATTGTCTGTGCAGGTCCACGTTTTCGAATAGCCCCCATATAACGGTACCCCCCCCCCCCATTTTCGGTATTTTAATGATTTTAACTACATTATAAACAGATTTTTGTTCAAGTTTCACATTTAAATTATTGTAATAACTTATGACAAAATATGCCTATGGAAGCCCACGTCGTCGTATAAGCACTCGGTATTCTTAAGATTTTAACAGAATTTTTAACGGATTTTATTTTTTGGAAATTACCAAAATTTGTACCAAATGGTGGAGGGTATTAAAAGTTCGGCCCGGCCGAACTTACAGCTTTTTTACTTGTTTATTGTACCATGCTACCTACTTTCAATGAAGTCAAATTTGACATGGTAAATTGCAGAATATGCAGAGCTGGATATTATTATCATGATAAAAGTCCTTTTTATCAAACACTTACACTTTCTTGCACAAGCCACTATTCAAATCAAAGACAATGTAATTTATATTTTAATAATTTTTTTTATTTTAAATTCAGTCTTTAAATATAAGAACTAAAAAGCAATAATAATAACATAAAAAATAAATACATATATTAATGTAGTTCGTTATGTTTCTTGGCATTTTCCTAAATCTCTATACCATTGCAAAGTATATAGAGAGAGAAAATGTTAAGAAATATTTTAAATCGTTTGTACAGTATGTACAGTTCGGTTTTCTTCCTAGACGTTCTCGTAAAGTGATCGTATGTATGAGTACAAATATGTTGACTTTAAAATTTGTAATAATACTAGATATATACAAAATATAATAACATACATACAACATTTATAAGAATTTATAAAAAAAAAACACTAAAAGCAGGAACATTGCGTTACAATTTATAATAATAGTATGGCATTTCAATTATATATAGTAGCTATGAACTTAAGAATATGTGATTATAATACAATAATATTTTTTTTCTTTTTTAAAAACATTTCTCTTTAGAATATGCGATTATAAAACAATAATAATAAACATAATCATGAAAACCTAGGTACCCGTAGCACTTTAGCAGGACAAATTTACTATCAGCTGATTACTTGTAGACTCCAGACGAGTATCCATATGCCAGCTATCAATTCCCAAAGGCCAATGGGTAGGCTAAAAATATATCACACACAAGAGAGAGAGAGAAAAAAAGAGAGAGATAATGTTTAGACATACAATTTTGACAAAAGACAATAGACGAAGATAGCGAGAGGTAATTAAACAAAAAAAGCTCTATTTAAAATACAACTACTAAATCTTATAGGTGGTTCACACTTAGACAATAATATTCATGCAATTTACCAGGGCCTCAATTCTTGTTCTGTGAAAATTAAAAATGAAAACTTTTATAAAAGAAAGAAATGTCAAATGAAAATTTTGTTAAAGAAAATATTTTTCATTTCATATTTTCATAGAACGAGTATCCACTCCCAGGACAATACAAATTTACGAAGACAACAGAGAAAGCAACAGAAAATTAAATTAGGAAATATAAATAACATGCATTTCAGGTGAAAATAAAAATTAAATTTAAGTTCGAATCTGTCTATATTTTTTTAACGAAATATTAATTATGACAGAAACATTTGGACAATATTAAAATAAATCTAAAAGTTTGTGTGAGACATCTGCGGACAGCTAACAAATTAATAAATTAAGGACATTAATACATATTTGTAGGGCAGTAATAAATAAAACACAGTAATACATAATTAGGACATATTTGTAGGGTTTTATGTTTTATGCGGAGAATATCATGACACAACAATTTTTTTTATATATGTCAAATCAATACGTTACATTTGGTGTTGATAATTTCGTTTTATGTAAGCCGTGGACTAATTAATACAATGGCATATTCTTAATTTGCTGGAAGTTCTAATCGATCTGTTCGACTACGAAAGATATATTCTTCAATTCTCAAAAATTGCAATTATAATTTTTATTATTATGTTAGATATGTCAAAATAGAGCATTTTTATGTAAACCCATGGCAGAAGAATATAGGTAGATGCAACAACACTTGGGAATTCTAATATGTCAAAACTTTTAAAGTGTTTTGTCAAAAATAAGTGGATTTTTTGTAATGATATGTATTTTTCAAAAATGTTTCCAAATTTCAATAATTTTTTATTCAACATTTTCAATTCCAAAATTGGTTTGACAGTTCATTGTCCCAGCAGCTGTGTCGACGCGTCTACCTATATTCTTCTTCCATGCTCAAACCCTAAAAAGGCATACGCAGAGTTGTTTTTTCTGCATAACAAGGCTGTAAACATTTCGTATCATCTATCTTCATTAGTAAACCGTAAAAGCATATCAATTACTGGTAGATGTCGTTGCTAAAGTTAAAATTATAGAAAAATGCTGCCAAGTATCATTGAAGAATTAATTCAATCAGTGCGTTGTTGTTCGACATTAAATACGTTTACATGCAAAATCTCCACCCGTATTAACCCTGATAATTGACAAATCACAATAAATTTAACAATAAATAAATCACAATAATTTAAATGTATGTATTCTAAAGTAAAATTTATTGTGATTGACAAATTATCAATGTAAACTCGGGTAGAGATTTTGTGCTTTGAAGGTGCCAAGATAAAACACAGTAATATTGAGGATGAAGCACATAAAGACAAGCTAGTTAAATGTTTTTTTTTTTAGAGAAACAGTACAGGAGACAAAGGACAGGATCAATTTTATATTAACAATTAGACGACCAAAAAATGCGCAATATTTTATTGACAAAACTAAAAATCTACTTAATATGTAGTAGTTAATAATACATACAGACTATTTTATATAAACAGGAACGATTTCAAATTATTCTGTAAAAATGTAAGGAAGAAAAAATATTTATTTGGTCACACAATTTTCGTCTACGGATCAGAAAGTGACTATAAATTCAAAGTTCCGATTTCACACTGTTGGAGCGTAAACCCGTTGAACCCCCTCAAGAAGTAAAAATATATTCGATCACACATTTTTCGTCTATGGATCAGAAAGTGACTAAAATCCAATGCCCTGATTTCACTCTGTTGGAACGTAAACCTGTTGAATCAACTCAAATAAGTAATGGTCACTCTTAAAAGCTCTTTTTTACATTTGTAGTATCAAATTGTCCATATGTAGAAGTTATACACTCCGTGTGATACATGGACGACATTTCAGTTGTGAAATACATGAGTAAAGTACATACGTACTTTTTCGATGACAGTGAGCCCATTTTTCATCGGTAAAATATAATTTAATCAAAAGTGCGCTAAAAAATTATAGAAGAGAGCAGAGCTGGGAATGCTAATATGAAATGAGGTAACCTTTATTTCATTGTACCATGGAAAATACACTGTGATAACAAGAATTATAAGTCATATGTAAAATTACAATTTTGACATACATATGGAAATACACATGGATAAAAAATGACAGCACATATGTAAAACCCTTATCGCCTGATGATGTGAATTTAATTTTAGGCTACCGTTACATTACAGTATGTACGTATTACATTACGAATGTAAACATTGAATCACCTCAAATCAAATCCTGGTCACCGTAAATGGTTTATGTGGGAACGTGCTATTAGGGTCCGTTTACATTACAGTATTTAAGGATAATTTACAGACGCCTAAATTAAGCGGTTTTTATTAAAATTCGTCATTCATTTGAGGTAGTCCGATAATAAACTTTGTTTAGTGGTAGAATTAAGAAGGTTATCTTGCGCTATCATATGTTTACTTTTTTCAAAATTATAACCTTTGACAAAATCGTATTGTCAAAATGTATATTCAAAGGTCTCATGTTTATACACAGGTTAAATTTGACAAGTTAAACAGGTTAAATTTGACAAGTTAACAGGTTAAATTTGACAAGTTAAATTACAGAAAATGCAGAGCTGGATATTATAATTTTAAATGAGGACATTTTTGAAGTTAGTATATTTTATTCCTCATGTTTGCTTTGTATGCTTTATATTCCATTCCTTCATTTAAATCGCTTTTAAATAATAGAGTGGTCTCATTTAAAAAATCCATATTTTATATTTGAAATAAATTGAAAAATGCGTATTTTGAATAAAATGGCATATAACATTTGCCAAATCTTTGGCAAAATTGTATATGAATTTTTTTTTACACAAACATATACATGTCATCTCATATAAATAGCTATAGTTTAATCAGTATTTATGATCGATAAGCCCCCGAAATATGTTGACTATCACATCGAAATGTATTTTTGTTGTTCCTCTATATATTTATAGTTTATAGAGTTTAGCATTTTAAAAAAAATTATTAGGTATAAACGATTTTGTGCTTTTGGCACTGAAAACTTGTGCAAAAATATTTAAAAGAAGAAAACTTTTATTTGGAGTTTTAAAACTTGAGTATTTTATCAAAATTATAAAAAAAAGTGTTATCATATGTTTCAGTGAGATTACCTTTTATCATGGACATAAAAACAGAATGAGGAGTTGTTGCTTGACATCGAAACTGTCAAAATACAATTATGAAAATTAACCTTGGTAAAGATTTTTATAAACTAGCTATTATAGTTTAACAGTATGTTCACACGAAAGCTTTTAGCCTGGTTTAACCCTTTTATAATGATTTTTAATGCATATGCAATGGAATCCTCTAGGCTTACTAAATCCGATAAAATGTACATGTCATTCCCATGATAAAATAATACAGGTTGCCGCATCAAAAACAGCTGGTGCTACAATGAAGCGTCAAATCATTTTTGGACTTAATTTTTTTGAATGAAAAGAAATTAACAAAATCTGAACGTCATTGTATAAGAAAATCTACCTAATGGTAGAAGAATACAGGTAATTGCATCAGCGCTTGGGAACATTGATATTTCAACAATTTTAAAATGTTTATTAAAACAAAGTATATTTTATATACCACCAACCGGAGGTTGTTATGATATGCTTTTTTCAACAATTTTAACGAATTTGAATAATTTTTCATTCAAAATTTTCAATTTTAAAATTGATTTGACAGTTCATTGTCTCAACAGCTGTATCAATGGGGCTGTATTCTACTACCATGTTCACACCGTCACCTAAATTATCCATATTTCGAAAATAATAACTGAGTTATGTTTTCTCATGAAAAGCTGCATCTCATGTAGCTTTGAGCGTAAAAATACAAAAAGCCATTTGGAACATGTCAATATATAACTCATGACCTTAGAATCTACACCTAAACCTACCCTAATTCCATGTATCAATTAAAAAATGCTCTTCAGTTTATATTTTTTGTGAATATTTTTTTCAGCTTTTTATTACTTCATTCATTTTTTGTGTTGTTGTTGTTAATGATTTTCATAGTTATTCTTGCAAATTGACACAAAATATCAGAAAATCGTTCGTTTCATTTTTAAATATATATGGCTAAAGCATATATATAAATAAGTGTATGTATGTGTGGGTGTGTTTATGTGCATTGTGGCGAACTTAAATTAACATTTATAGGTAGTTCTTGAGCTGTCTACATTTCTAATATAAATTTACAAAATTTATATATAAAATAGGATTTTGTTTTTGTTTTGAGAAAACTTCATTACAAATGGATGTGAACTCATAACAAAATTTTATTTTTTTTTTTTCAAATCTTCTTTACGTTTAGATAATAAAAAAAATTATAATAACTAATATAACAGTTTACATTACATTATTGCATTGATGTTAGTAGAGTATAACTAAAAATATACAATTATTTCAGAAAATTGTTAAGTTTGTCTAAATGTTTGTCAATTTTTCGGTATTAGTTTTATGGATTTCTTGAATTACAAAAAAAAAAAAAAAATAATAGAAAAACTAAACAAAATAAAAAAACAAAGAAAAATAAAAGAGAAATAAAAATAATTTTAAAAGGCCTTCTTTTTATTGTAAAAATTTTATTTGTTTTATATAATTAATGGCGTGTTGTTGTTCAGGTTTATTCATTCATTATTTATTTTCGTATTAGAAATTACTGATATTCTTATTGAGAGGCAGCGAGGTTTCCATTTTGTTTTCGTTTATGTAGCTTTCTTTCGAAAAATAAATTGCATTGGACATCTTCTATTCGTTTTCTTTTAATTATTTGTTTATTTATTTGTTTTTATGATTTTTTTTAATGTTTAACATAATATTTACAAAATATGGCATTGAGTACATTTAATAATCTTAACTATTTTTTTTGATTTGTATTATTTGTTTCTAAGCAATTTTATAATTTTTCTTTGTTTATTTTGATTTTTTTAACAAATAAATACTTTGCAAGTTGTGTAGTAGGTGATGCTAAAACATGAACGTGTGTATTTTGTGCTAAGGAATATATTTACGTTTAAGGTTTGGACTTGGAAGGGAAAATTGTAGGTTAGGGAAAATCTGGAGGAGTTTATATAAGTATTATAAATTAATTTGCAAATTTCGAGCTCTAACAGATTCGAGTTTCAAAACAAATAACTTGAATTGTATATTTTTTTTAGGTTAGAAACAAAAGAAAAACCAATAATATTCCATATACATTTTTAGATGAGATATAGATTAAAGGCTGGATTTACATCAAATGAGTTTCGATAAAACTTTGCAATTTTATTGAATTTGTGTGAAAATGCTACGAGTTTTAGTAAAACCTATTTGATGTAAACGTGTCCTAATTTTTTTCTCTAAACTGCTGCCAATTCAATGAAAGTGTAGCATGTATTCTATTCAATTCCAATTTAGTTTTTTTTATTAAAAAACAACATTTATATACCAAAAAAGCTGCTATAACCTAAAATAATAAAATTCTTTATACGTTCCTATTGTTCTACCGATCGTTAGCTAAGCATTTCCTTGCATAACATCTCCAATTTTTTTTTCGGAAATTTGATAGCATAGACTTTGAACCTAAACCGGGTAAATAAATCCGCGTAATCTTAAACGAAAATTCGAATGTAAATGCGCTATGAAAACTACACATCAATAAAAGTGCTGCCAAATTCAAGATAAAAAAGATTATGCCAGTTTTTGTGTGTATCAATTTATTTATGAAAGTTTGCTGTATTTTATATTTATAATTTTGTTTTTTAAAAGTAAAGAAAGTATATTAAAAATAATACTTCTAATAACTGTATTTTTTGGAAATATTTATTTTAAAAATTATACATATATTTATTCTTGAATTGGCACCACTTTTATGTTGTAATCTCATGGTCATTGCCGTGGGGTTTCAAAAATCAAATTTAATCAAAATTCCAAGTGATTTAAGATAGATTTATAAGGTTTATTACTATGTTCACAAATCAAAATTGAACAAAATTTGGAGAGGATTAAATGTGAGACTACATAAGCAGCTTGAAGTCTTCGCCTGGCATATTTTGTGACACATTATAAAGGAATGCCAGAGCCGCATTTAAATTCTACCGTCGTTCTCCATTATAATTTGACATTAATATGCCTAGCCATGATGCCAAGCTGCTTATGTACTCTCACCCATGGTAGAAGAAAAAATCCACTTATTTTTCATAAAACATTTTAAAATTTTTGACATATCAATGTTCCCAAGCGTTGATGCTTCTACCTATATTCTTCTACCGTACCCTCAGCTTAAGATATAAATGTAAGATTTTATACTATGTTCACACGTTGAGTGATTTCCACTTTGTTTGTCAATTTTATGGAATCACTTTTATGTATCACTTGACACATACGCCAGGGAATTGAAAGTTGAAATCCTCTCGCTGTAATAAGTCTAAACGTACCTATAGTTTAGTTAAGCCACGCCTTAGCCTTATCCTGATTAATTTGACGTTTAAAAAATATATGTCAATTGGATCAAAATAGATCAAGTATAACCATAGACAAATAAAGGTATAGACTAAAAAGTTGTTTCATCTGTAATCTGTTGATGGTGTGAGAGAGCTCAAGTTATTTTTCTCAATTCTCTCAATGCATGAAATACCGACTATTTTTTTTAATCTCCAAATATTTATCAATTGAAAACAATTGACTTATAATACGTTTAGATTATCTAGATATGTCGTGACATCTGCTGAAAGGGGTTAATATTATAACTGTTTAATCTATAGCTTTATTTGTTTATGACATCTCCGTTGAGGGATCGGATGTAAACGTAGCGTCACACTAAAGGAAATATATGGTAGAAGAATAGAGATAGACGCATCGACGCATCTGCTGGGACAATGAACTGTCAAACTAATTTTGAAATTGGAAATTTTAAATAAAAAATTTATTAAATTTGTAAAAATTTTTGAAAAACGCGAATTATAATAACTTATATTATAGTTGAAAATACATTTATTAATATTTTATTTATTTATTTTTTTTTTTTTTGACACATCAATGCTCCCAAGCGTTGATGCATCAACCCGTATTCTTCTACCGTGGTCTATACCTTTATTTGTCTATGGCATCACCGTCGAGCGATTACATGTAAGTCGAGCGATTACACGTCACACTAGAGGAAATACATGGTAGAAGAATTGAGATAGTCGCACCGACACAAATGCTGGGACAATGAACTGTCAAAACAATATTTGAAATTGAAAGTTTTGAATGAAAAATTATTACATATCATTACAACCTCCGATTGTTGTCGTATAAGAAAACTTATAAAAATCTAATTTTTTAAAAAACAAAAACATTTTAAAACTTTTGACGTATAAATGTTCCCAAGTGTTGATGCATCTACCTCTATTATTGTACCATGAGGAAATACCATATTTTATACGTAACGTAAACGTAACCTTTTACTCCGGCATTCTTGGAAATTATGTTGGGGAGACTGCAGATTGCTATCGGCATCCAGGAAATTTCAGGTAAGTTTCCCATCCTCTCTCCAAGGTGAACAGCTTTCTGGACGTTTGGGGTCATAAAATCTTTTTTTACACACATAAAAACACATTGAGAGCACCTTGGATCAATTATTTCGCTAAGAGGGCTTACATGTAAACGTAGCAGATATTTTGAAAAACATGACAAAGGCAAGGCAATGCTATGAATATTGGCAAGCAGAATAGATGTAGATGTACACCTAGGTTATACCCGGTTGGCGGTGTTCTCATTGGACCGTGGACCATTAACCCGTTTAATTTGTGTGCTTTGGGATTCAGTTAGATGGGATAACGGATTGTGTGAATAGAGGAAACGAGCATGGATTATGATAATGGAGGGAAGGTGTAGTCGTTGTGTGCATGTGACATGGTATTAGTGTAGGTATGTATGTATGTATGTGAATGGAACATGTATGGCTTCTTCTTCTTGCAAAATGTACACAGATATATATGTTTTTTGTATATTTTGTTTCATTTGTTTTCGGTATATATATATTTTTTTTAAATGCCTTATTAACAATTATACACACAGTACAGAGAATATGTATTGCATCGTCTTAAACATACATACAATTCTTTTTTTGTTTTGATTCTTAAATTTCTATTTATATATTCAACTTTGTACACTCTCTTTTCTTATTTTTGAGAATATTTGATTGCATAAGATTAACAATTATTTACACAACAAATCAGTTTTGTTTTTTTTTCTCTTCCTTTCTCTTGCTTTTTGACAAATTCCTTAAAAACCTGGTTAAAAAAATCGAATTGAAAATGCAACTCTGATTTTGAAGAAAATAATAAATGGATTGGAAAATTAAAAACAAAAAATCTACAAAATAAACGAAAAATGCTAAAATTTTGACAAACCGTAAAAATGTTAACAATTAACGAAAAAAGAAAATTAGGAACGAACGATATTTTTTTAAAGCCAAATTCATACAAATTAAAAGTAGAAATGAAATCTAATTCAATTTTTTTGTGGTTGTTGTTTTTTTGTTTTAATTATAAAATAAATAAATTACTTTACGAATTAAGTATTAGATAAATATAAACAAAACGAAAAAATAAAATAAAAATAACTAAATAATATGAGGAAATTTTTATTATAAATTAATTGTGTATACATATGTATGTAGTAAGTAGGTGGTAATAATAATAAGGAGGAAGTTACACTCACACATCAAGGGTGTCGTAATACAGGAAATCATCAGCGCCCCCCGCTATGGGGGGATTTGCTATGTCTGCCTCAGCATGAGGCGTGAGACTGCTGCTGCTGCTCGAAACAAATGAATCATCTTCATAGCTGGCATCTTCCTCGCCATCACCAGTGTAGCCATCATCGTCGTCTTCGTTCTCATTGTCCTCAGCGGCCGCTGAGGTGTCTTCTGAGGACACTTCCATGGACTCCTCCATGGAATTGGAGTATCTTACGTTGCGTTGCTCACGATCGCCACGATCACTTGTACTCTCGGCATGTGGATCGTATGTGTCGAAGAGAGTCGATGACGGCATCAGGGATGAGGTTTCCCAAAAGCTTGACTCAAGCGTTGAGGTAGAGGGGCTTGTAGAGGTTCTTTCGGTTGTCGTTGTGGTAGTTTTTTGTTGCTTTTTATTTTTGCCATTGACACCGGTGCCGCCAGCCGTTCCTCCACCCCGTTTGGGATTCTTTTGTTTCTTCTTTTGGCCACCGGCGCCTGCACCACCAGCGCCATTGCCGCCATTACCACCATTTTGTTTGGCGGCCTGACGACCACCACCCGTTGCCGGCACAGCACCGCCACTGCCCAGGCCTCCACTTAGCTTTTTCCCTCTTCTGTTGTTGGGACCCAAGCCATCGGTGCCCAGGCCATTCTTGTTACGACCCTCGCCGGCAGGACGCTTGTTCTTGGCACCCTGTTTCTTGGGGCCCTTCTTTTTGCACATGGGCGGCAATACGATGTCTGTGATACCCTCCTGTTGTTGTTTCAGCATTAGTTCCCTGCACCGTTTCTGTTTGCCTTGCTTCTGCAATGCCTGTGGCCTACGCTGGCAATTGTGTTCCTCCTCATTTTCATGTGGACGACACTTGCGCAGCTTCTTCCCTCTGCCTTTCGAATTACTACCATTTGTTGTTGCTGTCGTCGTTGCTGTTGTTGTTTTGCTATTACTATTACTACTGCTATTGCTAATATGGCCATTATTTTGACTATTGCTAATACTACTGTGGCTATTGTTTTTACTACTGCTACTGCTATTACTACTACTGCTATTGCGCTGATTTGTTTCTGGTTTGTTGTTGCTGTTGTTGCTATTACTATTTCTACCACTTGAACTAGAGCTATTGCTTAATTTAGTTTTATCATTGGCAGCAGGAACGTTGTTCAATAATTGGCCACTATTGCTATTGCCTAGACTATGACTACTGCTATTTAAATTATGTTTACTATTTTTATTACTGCTAGCTGTGTTATGACTATTGTTATTGCTATTACTATTGCTATTGCTACTACTACTACTACTACTGTTTGGATTGCACTTCGGATGTGCTTTAAAGTTTTTACTATCGATCAGTTCGATCAATGGTTTGCCAGTATCACAGAGTTGACGTATGCCATGCTTGATGCGATTCGCCCCGAAATTCTTTGCAATCAGCTGTTCGACACGCTCTTGCGGCACCGCTTCGGTAATGGCATTCGTATAGGTCGCCAGTTTGCCCAGCGAACGGGTGGGTGGTATTTGCAGTTTTCTCGGTTCGCCATGGCGATTCAATGCCAAATAGTATTTTCGCCTTGAATTCGAGTTGTAGGTGGACGAATAGGTGTTGTAGTTGTGTTGTTCCATGTTTTCATTGAAGACACAGTCGTCGGTGAACTCTTTCTGTAACGAGAAACTATAGTAAGTTATTTGGTTATTTTTTAATTGTTTTTTTGTTTAGTGCTAAACAAAAAAATTAAAAAAAGAAAAGAAAATGGGACACAACAAAGGTTCTACTAAGCAAAAAATGAAGTGATGGGTGGATGGGTTAGTAATTTACTTAAAAATTAATATGAATATGTTTGAAAGTGACTAATAAAAAGGATCTAAAAGATATATTTGTAAATTACATGTTCAGTTTATATATATATATATATATATGCTTTCCCTTGAATTTTGACACCCGACACACCTCTATATTAATGGTTCTAATTGAGTGTTAAAATAACAGGGTGATTCACATGTTCTTTATATGATCTTATAGATCTGTTCCAAAACCTACAAGCATTTACTGGTTTTGCTAAATTTGAAAAATTTTGAGTTGGGTTCCAGAACCTGCAATGTAGCACTAAATTGAGCTATTTGAACCACTTTTTTATTAGGTCGCCGGCTCCATACATGAAGAACAACTAGTAAATCATGCTGACGAAATGAAGAGCAAGACATAAACATCTCGTTCTCTTTCATTAAATTTGGTCTTGTAAAATAGTAACAGGGTTGCCAACATGGCGTAATTAATAAGTACGGCATTTACCGCAGCTGATTATCTAGATTAGTTGTCAAAAACTTATTGTGAATGGAATCGCAATACGAATTATCATGGCCCAAATATAAGGTCCCCCTGCCAAATCTGCCGACTACCAAATGCTATGTCAAAATGTATTATTGTGATTGAAATCACAGAACAAAAAAAAAATAAACAAGAAGCCAAAAATTGTAAACCAAAAATTTGACATTTCATCTGGTTTTTTAAATTTACATGAACACCTTGTTATTGCGCCATGACGAAATATAAAGAAAATAAATGTTGATATTTAATCTGATTGGAGTAACACCTTAAGGGACTATAACACAATATGTTCTTCAAACATGGAAGTTGCATACATGGAAGACATTTAAGTTGTGAAATACATGAGTAAGGTATATACCATGGTAGAAGAATACAGGTAGATGCAACAACGCTTGGGAACACTGATATGTCACATTTTTTTTTTTTTCGAAAAATACCTATTTTGTTTCCAAGTTTTTTTATATGACACCAATCGGAGGTTGCTATGATATGCCTTTTTTTTCAAAAATGCTTTAAAAATTGAATAATTTATCGTTCAAAATTATAAATTTCCAAAATGTATCGATGTGGCTACCTGTATATTTCTACCATGGTACATACGTACTTTCTCGATCACAGCGAGCCCTATTTTCAGCGGAAAAATATAACTTAATCGAAGGTTTTGTTTGTGTGAATATATATATATAAAATTATATTTGTTTGAAAATGCAATATAATCGCAGTGTAAGCAAAAGAAATAAAAAGAACATATGTAAGTGTGTGATAGCAAAAATTATGAGTCATATGTAAAATGGAAATTTTGATATATACACGGAAATACAAATGGATACTAAAATTGATAGAACACATGTAAAACCCTTATCCACTGATAGCTGCTTTATTATGCCATTATAGTTGCCATCTGCTTATTGCCTTTTATATTGTCTTTGGATGGTTGCCACCTAGTTTTGACATATTGGCTACCCGTATTTCCGGAATAAAACAGTTCCCTTATAACAAATTGAACCACTATCTCTTTTTTCTGGAAGATTCATAGTAGAATTATAAAGGTAAAATCATATGTTTACATTTTTTTACCTTTACCATCTTAATTTTACCATCAGAACATTTAAGAGAAAACATAAAAAATATTTCCTCAAATGAGGATTTCTATACAAACTTATTTCTGAACAAATTCTGCCGAGTTCAAAATTTTAGCTGGCCTGCCAACTTGTTATTTGAAGATATGCTGCTTTTTAAGGATTGTCATATGGTTTTGACATTTTTACTAGTTTTCCATTCCCACACTTTCTAGGTTGTTGCATTTGTGTTTCTCTCAGAGAGTTTTACGTTTTTCTTTTTTACGTTTTTACCAACTGTAGAATTAAAAAAAGGTAAACTCATTTCAAGAACACATATAAAGCTCTGTATTTTCTATAATTCACTGTGTCAAATTTGTCTGCATAAAAACAGCGACGCTACTCGCAGGTTGTTATAATGGAATTTTTAAACAATTTTAAGAAATTTGAATAATTTTTCATTTAAAAATTTCAATTCCAAATGTGGTTTGAAAGTTGATTCGTAGTTCCAGCAGATGTGCCGATGCAACATCCTGTATTCTTCCAACATGGAATCTTTGAGGCAATCGAGATTAGCTTTCATTACAGGAAATGACAAGAATATTCTCTATACTCTGTATTCAATTAGGCGTGCGTCGCCGTTAAAGTCGGTTGTTGACAAAATCAAGGTTATAGCACGTTTACAGGCAAAATATTTACCCGGGTTAACCGTGATCATTGACCATTCACAATAAACATAGCATATGTTTTCCATGGACAAATTCATTGTGACTGGTCAATAATCAGGGTTAACCCAGACAAGGACTGGTATGTAAACGTGCTTTAACATTTTTCTAACTGTTTGACGGTAATTCTTCCTTCATTTAAAATGCAAACCAACTAAATCTTAAAAAAAATAATAAATTCACCTTAATTTCAAACTGAAGGAATGTTGAAATCGAAATATATTTTTAGAAACTCATTAGAGAGTATGTTGCGGTTGATGTCTTTTTTGCAATAACACCAAACACCAGCATAGACGACGACAAATAGGGGGAAGGAAGTAAATATAGATTGGTATTGTTTTGAATGAACCAATTCTGTCGTCGCATGTCACATCATTCGTTCACGAAAAAAATAAAAACAACAATCAAAGAGAATATATATATTTTGGCAAAATTTCACACTCCCTACCAAAACGCAGCAGGCGTCAAAGTAAACTAAACAAATAAATAAACAAAAAATCTATCGATTCTGTTAATTGACTAACCAATGCTGATGTGACAAAAATTTGAGTTAGATTATGCGAATGTTGCTTATATTGACAATATGACAGACTAAGAGATGAGAAATAATAAATTATTCTGGTTTATTTTAAAATTTGTCTGAAGAAATTGAAAATTTTTAATTTTCGAAACCAAAACACAAAAAGTAAAAGTTTACGCAGTTGGTAACTATTTGAGTGATTATCAGCTGATGTGTTGGCAACACTTTGCCCATGCGAACACCTGCTGTAAACATATTGTATTTTAATAGAACATCTTTCGTTTGATCTTAAAATAAATATCATACGACAAATCGATTAACCTTGCCAAATATTCCTGATGACATTGGCGAATATTGCGTACGTCGAAGACCACTCAATCGTGCAATGTTATTGGATTCGAATGTAAATTAAACCCTTAACAATGTAAATTTGGTTTATAAATGTTGTTGAACTATAAAATAGGCCTATCTAGTTACTTTTCCATAAGGCTAGACCATCCTTATGGAAAAGTAACCAGACTAGAACAATTCCATTTTGTAGATTAAGGTAGAGTATTTTCTTTTTTAAGAAAGCTGTAAAAAGTAAACAGACAGATCATCCCTGTAAAAATCTATAAGCATTTACCACATAACCTAAAACAGCTGATTAATTCTCACATTAAAAAAGAAGAAGAGTTGCCAATGATTTCACATAGAAATTTATCTGGATTTGAAAAGGATTGCCAAATGTTATTTCTTTATTGTCAAGCTTACTTTGTTTTTTCCAGATCCGGGATAACTCTAGAAAAATGTTAGTTTCCTTTTAAGCATATGCAGGAAATATCAACAAAACCCAATGGAATCTACTGGACAGCTTAAAGCCTCGCTTTTTTCTTCTTCCTCTTCAAGCAATCGTTGTCCAACTTCTTTTGAAAATTGACCCTTGGTCAGATAAAATAACATCTAAGTATGTCAATTGTTATATGCAAAACGGTTTTGTTTTCTTTTTCGAACAAATCATTTGAGCGATAGCATCTATTTTCGAATAATGTGATTTTGGCTTCTGGTTGTTGTGAGCGCAGCGAGGCAGCGAGTAAAAATCATACCACCATCATTCGAAAACAGCCAAACAAACTGCACTTCTCAATTGGCTAATTGCCCAATAATTTTGCTGCCTGCATTTTCCTAGTTTTAAGTACCAACTTTTGTTTTGTTGTTGCGCTTTTTTTCTATTCAATTTATTGTTTTTTTTTTCCTATTTGCATTTCAATGCAACAGATATTAAACATTAGCTAGATAATATTATCCGATAACTGTAATCGCCAGTTTTTGTTTTTGGCATAAACAAAATAAAGCTGTTTGTTTTGGTTTTTCCATTGAAAAAAAAAACAAATATTTGGTGTGGAGAAATATTACGATAAAATTTGACAAGAATCTCGTAAAATATGCCAAAAAGAGTCATATCTTAATGGGCTTACTCATTTATGTTTATGATAAAAAAAACAAAACAAAATAGTTTTTACGATCTGCTGAATGAAATGTGACACACATTTGTTATGTTGACCAAAACGGAAAAGAAAAACGGGAAGTCAGTGGAAAAATAAAATAATATTAAGTTGGTCTAAATTGCTAAAGCAAAGAAGTTTTTTTTTTTTTTGCAGCACAAGACACTGGAATACAGCCATGGACACATAAATGACTAAAATTTCGTTTTATTCATAGAATTCGTAGTTATTTCTCGAGGTCTCGAGCTCAATTTTATTAAACTCGTATTTGAAATAATTTTGAATAAAGATCGAATTAAATAACTAAAAATCAGAACATATCGTAATTATTTAGATTAATGACTTGTTTATTTCGATGGTGTACAAACTTTTTAATAATTCATTAATCGAAAGGGAAAAAATCTTCTTTTAAAGTTCTACACCCCCAAAAAGAACTGGCCACTTAAAAGGGCAAATTTAGAAATAGAACCGAAGTTCATGTTTTACATAGAAAATATATAGGTTTTGGAATGCAGACTTATTCTACCGTTAGTTTTTGGTGCCACG